TTTGTATTTCTAAGAATTTAACTACCCTAAGTACCTCATATGAAGGAAATCATACAGTAGAGCAAAGAAATCATGAGGAAGAATGATACACAATATATAACATGTCTGTTAAATTGAATAAAATCATTAACAGAGACCAGTAGTTCATAATGATCATATTATACATAAATAAAGATAAAGGAGAAAAAAAGAATGGAAGAGTACATTAAACGCATGATAATGGTAACTCAATTTCCAGAGCTGGGAGGCCCTCACCCCAGTCATAGGGTTGGTGAACGATGGAGCTGGGAATTCAGGGAAGATATCTGACTCCCAGAGCCCACACTTACCCAAACTTCACTGAGCCATGATGCCCTCTGCCTCTGCCACCCAGGCACTGAATCACCCCTGAGTTTTCTCATATCCTGTTCTCCTGGGCTTTGAGGGTGTTTCTGGCCTACTGAAAGAGGGGCTCCAGCTTGGACCGTATGTGGTAGCTGTATGACAGAGAGGCAGCTGTAAGGCTACCAGGAGCCACACCTCATGTCCCCCTTTCCAGGGCTGCTGAAGTCCTTTCTGGTGCCTGAGCAGTCACCATGCAACAGGGCCTGATGCTGACTAGGGAGCCATGGCCACAGGCTCTTTGCAGCTGACCAGAAGAGAGTCTCCTCTGTGCCATGTGCCAGTCCTCTAAGCTGTCACCTCCCACTCCATGGACAGAGCCACTCCATGGACTGGAACCAGACCCTGAATCGCTTCTCAGGCTGAAGATGGTAATTGTCTGCAACCCCCTGGAGCAGCTGAATCTCCTGGTTGACTGATCTCATGCAGACAAAAGGGAGGACAGGATGCTGACAGGGCCTGGACTGAAGATAATGAATGGGGCCTGTGGGAAAGGGAGGGAGAAGGGGCTGGTCTCTGAGACTTTTCTCTTAAGGGTCCCTCCTCGCCTTCACTCTCACGCAGCCCAACCTGTTCTCAGAATTATATATAAAGAGCCCTCATTCAGGAATATGCCCTTCATTCCAGTTCCTACCTGGAAACTCCACTGGGATGGGTCTCCTCCTTCTCTGTGTGTTAAACCCCTCAAGGATATCTAAGATGCAGAGGATGGAGCCAAAGTGTCCTGCCCTGGGAGATTCTGATTTCCACCTCCTCATGCTCCCCCAAAGTGAGAACCCCACTTGCTCAGATTCCTATTTTTTTTCTTTTCTTTTTTTTTGAGACAGAGTCTTACTCTGTTGCCCGGGCTAGAGTGCCGTGGCATCAGCTAGCTCACAGCAACCTCAAACTCCTAGGCTCAAGCAATCCTCCTGCCTCAGCCTCCTGAGTACCTGGGACTATAGGCATCAGCCACCATGCCCGGCTAATTTTTTTCCATATATTTTTAGTTGTCCAGCTAATTTCTTTCTATTTTTAGTAGAGATAGGGTCTCGCTCTTGGTCAGGCTGGTCTCGAACTCCTGAGCTCAAACGATCGGCCCGCCTTGGCCTCCCAGAGTGCTAGGATTACAGGCATGAGCCACAGCGCCTGGCCTGATTCTTATTTTTCTAGGTGCTGACCACATTTACCTCAAAGGAACACAGCCATCATCCATCAGAAAGGCCTTTTAGGTCCTGACTATCCCAAGCTCCAGCCCCTCCCATTCTACACTACCACGAGGACCACCAGGGGAAGGACATGTGCACAAAACAGCACTTGGACTTGCACCAGGCACCGGCTGTAGAGGAGGGGAGCATGGCAGCTGAGCATCAGGGACCTTCTGCCCCAACCTGTCCATGGACAAAACACATCTCTCTTCCTGTTATCCCAGATTAGACATGACTGGTGACTTATATTTTTCAAGTATACTTTCAGTGACACAGTAACACACACACACACACACACACACACATACACACGCACATCTGACCCAGTACCTCTTCCAACCTTGCTCTCTCCTCTGCCACCCACCCATGAAATGCTTGCTCCTCATGTCCTGGCCTCCACTTTTCTTTGACGAGTAGACCCTGTGTAGTGTGTTTTCTTTTGTGAAGATTTTATAAATTTTCTGTAACTTTTTCTGTGGAAAGGAAAAAGAAGGAAGAATAAATATGAGAATAATGAGGAGGTATGCAAGTTCAATTCCCTTTTATTTGAGAACCAAATGGATCCAAACTGCCTGGTGAGAATTCCTACTGGTCCTCTGAACCCTAAGGGTTCCATGGGACTGTAGAGGGAGCTCTGTGGAAGCTAAAGTGACTCCTTCTTGGATGCTAATATGCCATGTTTACTTGTCATTAATCCCTGCTCTGTGAATGCCTCTCAGGTATTTACTTTATCAACTGTTCCTTATGTAAGACTACATATTAACATCAATCATTCCCTTAGGTCAAAACAACCCTAATGTCACACAAATTACAGGCTATGATGTACATAGCACTGAAATTTCTGTCTTCTCCTGGAAGGTCTACTGCAATTGTCCTGTAAATTAATTTGTATACACTTTTCCTATAGTATGTAAGCTCTGTATTGGGCGTGTAACAGCATGGAGATCCACCTGTCTTGCTGCCACCCATGACCATGCACCTGTCCATAAATTACCTAATGAATCACCCTCTACTGACATAGTGGATTTGCCTGTCTTTTTCTTTGGTTTCTTTGTATTTGCGCATCACTTTGCATGTATGGACATTTTACAAAACAACTGGAGAGTTAGCCAGCTAAAGCCCAGGGGCCAAAGCATGGGCAAAGAAAAGAAAGTATTGGAGTGGAAAATCTGGGGTATGTGTCATCATCTATTTGGGGAGATGCTGCCCATTTGTTAGATGCCTGTGGACTACTGAGTACAGGGATGCCCTTAAAATGCCTGAGGGCCTAGAAAACTTGTCAGTAGAAAACTGCATTGCCCCCTAGGGTAAGCAAGGTCACCATGTGGCATTAACAGTTGATTGGCCATTACTAGGAGATTTGTAAGTGGCCAAAGAAGCAGTTACGAGAAGAGGTAAAGACATGAAAAGCTATATCAAGAATTACCATTAGAAGAGGATATGAAAACCTCCCTAGCTATGGTTAGTAGTTAGCTTTGTGGATAAGTGTGCAAGTGAGGAGATGCAGTAAAACATCTATCCTGTTGTTTTGTCCAGCTTGAAGGGTGAAAGGTGCCCCAGCCTAAAGTGTGAGCATGTGACAGTCCATCTATGTTCAACAATTTGAAGGACAATAAAATCATAAAATTAACTGAACAGGCAGCAGGGTAAAAAAAAAACAGGATTTTTATGGGGAGATTTGGCATCCTGGAGAAATGAGATTTGTGAGAAATAAATTTAATGAACAGTAGAGAAACTTACTTTGCTTTGAGATTTTGTAAGGTCTAGCTTGCTTTTAAATCATCAATTATCCTGTATTCTGTAATTATTTGTTTTGATCCACTATTTCCATTTCCTTCTGATAGGTACAAACACACTATTACATACATTTTTCTTCTATAGTTCTCTTACACAAAGTTTAATTTTAGCTTGATATATTGTATATTACATCCAACAAAATAAAAATCAAAACAAAACAATCTCTGTGTTCAATCGGCCCAGAAAAGAGCCATGTGCAAAGGAAAATTTTGGATAAAATTTTATGAATAGTGATTTAAGATTTAAAGGTATGGATTTAAAATATACTCCCATATAATCTTTACTATAGCCATCACAATATTTCCATAGTTATGAAAAAGAGAAAAACATACAAAATAGTAAACATGAGAACAATATTCTCCAAATTATTGGAACTTTTGATCCTCAAGAAGAAATTAGTAGAAAAGGCATTCTACTGTATTACCCAATAATACATTATTTTCATCTGTTAACTACAATCTTGGACAAGATAAGATAGTTTAACACTGGTGGCAGGGTAACATTTCTTTCATTGTACCTTAATGTCAAAACATTAAAAACCATTTAGTTTTATTACTCAAAACAAATTAATTAACTCATACCCCCAAATAAAGCATTTTCAAACTCACTATATGCTCCTGGTCACTAGCAGTCAAAAAGCATTACTTTTTGTCTAACATAGAAATTTTAGACTTGTGCTTTCTTTAATTTTAAAGACTGAAGCTAATTATTTAGTGCACATTGATTTGAATACATATACAACCTTTCAAACAGGTGTTATCTTTACTTTCCTGATATCTCTGAAAATGTTTTTATTTCTATCATCTCAAATAACATTCAAGATTTCTGTGTCCTCTCTAACATCAAATAATACTCAAGACTTCTATTTCATTCTACTATAAAGAGCATAAGGAGCAATTGTTAAAATGATTTATGTTGAAAATTCAGAATGTTTCTCTTTAATACGGAAGAAAAATGCCCTGGATACATACTGTATGCTTGCATGCATCGTTGTTTTATAATTCAAGCACAAAAATCATCTTTCTTTAGATTTTCTTAATGTATTTTATATTTGCCATTAAACTTTCAAGGGAAAATTGATATTAATAATATTCACCTAATATTGAATGGCCTCTCATAGCTTTTATGGAGAAACAAGAGAATTCATATTTTCCCATAAATGCTAGGGATTAAAGTATAGCATCAAGTAATCTGAGAATTGAATTACATCAATAATATTTGCTTTTGAAAAATTTCAAGTACTTTCAACACAAAGTAGCCTCTGATCATAATTATATTCACCCAAACATCAATGTTCTTGCCCTTTTGAAAAATATAATCAAATAAATTACCTAATGGCTTTAACTTTGCATTGTTCTCTATAATAAATACTCTGGGTTAGTGTAAAATCTGAAAGTGTGCTTTAGTATTTACTTATGTGAATCCCCTGATGCACAAAGACTTAAAGTTTTGATTACATACTTCCCCACACTTATTAAAGTTTCTTTTCCTATGAACTTTATGGTGATTTGTAAGTTGTATATTTTAGGTAAAACTCTTTTGACATGTATTACATCTATAGGATTTCTGTAGTATGAATTTTCTGATGTTGAGTAAGCTGTGAACTACAGGAAAAGATTTTGTCACATTCTTTACATTTGTAGGGTTTCAATCCAGTATGAATTCTCTGATGTTGAGAAAGTATTGAAAACCTTGTAAAGGATATGCCACATTCTTCACATTTGTAGGGTTTCAGTCCAGTATGAATTCGCTGATGTAGTTTAAGGCCTGAAGACTGGGTAAAGGACTTACCACATTCTTTACATTTATAAGGTTTTTCTCCAGTATGAACTATCTGATGTCGAGTAAGGTGTGAACTACAATTAAAGGCTTTGCCACACTCATTACATTTGTATGGTTTCACTCCATTATGAATTCTCTGATGTTGAGTAAGATGTGAACTACGGTTAAAGGCTTTGCCACATTCTTTACATTTGTAGGGTTTCAATCCAGTATGAATTCTCTGATGTTGAGTAAGGCTGGAACTACAGTTAAAGGCTTTGCCACATTCTTCACATTTGTAAGGTTTTTCTCCAGTATGAATTCTCTGATGTTGTCTAAGTATTGAAAACCTAGTAAAAGATATGCCACATTCTTCACATTTGTAGGGTTTCACTCCAGTATGAATCCGCTGATGTTGTCTAAGGCTTCCCAACTGAGTAAAGGACATGCCACATTC